GACTGAGGGTCAAGGTCGAAGATGCCCTGGGAGCCCTGGTGAGCTGGTTAGGTGACAAGAGAGGTAAAGAAATGAATATTACTGAGTGGGTACTTACAGAGTGCCAGCTAGATGCTTTTATCTTTATTTTTCTTAACATAACCTTGTGAAATAGATATTGTTATGTTCATTTTGCAGAAGGGGAAGCTGGGATATGGGGAGTATAATTAGTTGTCAAAATAGTAAGTTTTCTAGCTGGCGTTCCAGCCAAGTGCTGTCTGACTCTACTTATCACTACACCAGGATGTTTAGTCCACAGTTATTGACGGAGCACCTTCCATGTGTCAAATATGATGATAATCCTAGGTTATACCTGCCTTCATAGAGATTAAGATCTGCTACAGGAGATTCACACTAATGTAACTGCAAACTAGGAAGGATTAAAATTAGAAGGAATTAAAATGAGAGTAGATAGTAGGGAAGCCTACGGGCTTCCCTGGCAGCCCAGCAGTAAAGAATCTGCCTGCCAATGCAGGAGACATGGGTTCGATCCCTGAGTTGGGAAGATCCCCAGGAGAGGGAAATGGCAACCCACTCCAGTATTCGTGCCTGGGAAATCCCATGGACAGAGGAGCCTGGTGGGTTGCAAAAGAATTGGACACAACTTAGTGACTAAACAGCAACAATAGGGAAGTCTGGCCTCAATATATGTGTGTGAAGGGGAAAAGTTTTCCCTGAAGAGGTGCCCTTTGAGTGGGGTTTCAAGGACTGGGTAGGAGGTGACTAGGTTGAACGGAAAGAGGGAGAAAGGCTTTACTGATAGGGGAATTAAGTACAAGACAGATACATCCCATGCTTGTTAGAACCATGAGATTTCCTGCAGTGTAGCACACTGCTTTTGTGGATTCAGTGATCATCTGCTCTATTAAAGATGGATACAGAAGAGCAATGAAAGAAAAAGAATTCCAAGGCTGGTATAGAAGATGGAAGAAAAACCTTATTCTTGGTGCAAATGGTCCTGGAACCACCAGTTTGCATAAGACCTGCCTTATTCTAACTTGGGAAATAAGTATCCTGCTGATTTCTGAGTGGTGAATGAGAAATAGGGATGAACACATGATGCCTACCCCTACTCCTGGCCACAACATTGCTAAGGTTTTTGCTGGCTGCCTCAGGGAGGCAAGAACTACAGTGAGGGGAGAGAAGGTGCCACAATGTCTGGGGAGACCTGTCACCCATTTCTGCATGGACTTAGGATAGAGTCAGATGAACTGAGCTGGATTCCACTTCTCTGGACACTGCCACTTTCCATTTCTCATCTGGGAAATGCTCCTTGCCAAGGACATGTTACAGAATGATACTGGAAATATTATTCTTATTTTACTTACAAAAATCTGAAGTCCAATCAGATATTTTATGAAAGCTAAAATCTTCAGTCTCTGTCCATGAAAATCATGTGACAGCTAAGGCTCATCTTCAAAGTCACCTCCTCCAGGAACCCTTCCTTGATTATGTCAAACAGCAGTTATGTCTTACCCCCTTGAACCTCCCAGTACTCTGAGGGCACTGTTCCAATATGTATATAAGGGCATAGTATATGCCTCAATAGCATATGAGGGCATATACCAATCATGTCTCTGTCATATGGTAGTTATTTAGGTCCGTGTCTTCCCAGCCCATTGCAAGTCTGAGTAGAGGAACTATGTATCACATGCCTTTGTAATATCCAGAGTGCTTTGTGCATGGGAGATGCTCTCTGAAAAATCTGCGAGCAGAATGGAAACTAAAATTTGATTTTCAGTAGAAGCTCGTTCTTATTTTTTCACCCATTCAAGTACCTATTAAAGTACAGAGTACATTTTTGGAGAGAGTTAAAAATAGAATTGAAAAAATAGGGCTTGATATATATGCCTTGATTTACTGCACGGAATAATTAAGGAAAAGAGCCCCTCACGTAAGTCTTTCAATAAGCCACTGAAGAAACATGTGAAATAGGAAATCTGGATTCAAGTCCTGGTCCTGCTATGTGCCTGCTCTCTGAGCTCAGGCAAGTCACTTGATGTCTCTGAACTTGGATTTTCTTATTTGTAACGTGTGGGAAGTGCTACATCTAACTTGTGGGATTTCAGAGAGAACTCAAATAGCACAGAGGTGCTTTGCCTCTCTCCCTCCAGGGTACTTCCTGTGGTGGATGCTAACAGAACGGGGTGGGGCGGAGGACCCTGGCATCCTGTCTCCATTCTCTTGCTGTAGCCGGGAGAGCACATAAACGTGTCGTGCCCCTTGTACACTTGGACTTGGAGGCTGGTGCCATATTTCTTTGCTTCCTTGGAAGTGTGTCTTGAACTTATTATGTCCTTTGGTGAATTAACAGGCAGGACAGATTGTCCATTTCCTAGTCACTTTCACAGAAGTCAGTTGGTGTCATAAATTCTTATAACTCATTTGTCCTCTTGAAGTGGGTCCTTGTGTGGAATGAAGACACTAATCCTCTCATAAAGGACTGCACCTACTTGTGAGGAGGAATTTTCTGTGAAAAAAAATTTCTGTGAAAAAAAAAATTCTGGGAGAAACACACACACATGGGTCTGGGGTACAAGATGGGGTTTGTTGGTAAGGGCAGTTGCCAGACCCACATGTGTTGGGGTACGAGCTCTGTAGTCAGCAGCTGTGGCTGCAGCTTGGGAAACTGCACACTTCACTTGGCTTTGGAATAAAGCATCTTGCACAGTCATTCCGAAGAAGAATCTCCAGGGGACACTCCCCCAGTTGGATATTCTGCTCCAAGCCTGGATCCAGGCATCCCCCTCCATCCCTGGTGTCTGGGATTCAGAGAAACCCAGACATGCCAGGAAGAGCTTATTTGTGGGGAGTGTGAGTTAGGGGCTTAATCTATGAGGCTAGCCAGAAATCCAAAATACAGGAGGGGGCAGATTCCAGGCAATTGTCTTTTTTTTGTTTGTTTTTTTAATGCCGAGCTTTGAGAACAGTTTCAACTTAGTATGAGGATTGGGTAAGTTCTTGGTTTCAGAGAAGATACTTTTAGATATGTGGGGAAAAAAATAGGAGAAATCAAGATGCGAAGTCTGCCTTCCATTGGTTGGGGTCTGCCTGGGCTGTGGTGTTAAGGGGGTTTAGGCAGCCACTGTTGTTTCTGTTGCTCTGGCAACCAGAGGAGAAATACACTACGCCCAGTGCAGGTGCACTGGGGTTGAGTGGGCCCATTTCCTCCCAACAGCCCTGGCCGGCCTGGAAACAGCGACCTCGGAACTCCTCCAGGATGGCTAGTTGAAAGTTTTGGGGTGTGGAAACCAAAATGTGGAAACTCTCAATTTGGGAGGCTTTGCCTATGGGGGCTGCCAGCTGTGCGCCGACGCTGCCCTCTCTGTCAGCTTGGGAAAGCTGGATCCGGGGTTTGGAAGGGTCAACAGGATTGCCTGCCTTTCCCGGCTTGACTTTCCTGCCTCTGGCAGCTGCAGCCCCAGCAGTTGCATCCTGCATCCCGTTGAGGAAGCTCAGTGCAGGGTCAGACCCAGGTCTTGCAGCTCCACCCTGGAGCTCTGCTGAAAAGCTGAGCAGCAGGGAGGGTGTCAGGCCCCCTCGTTCTGATGCCTGCCCTTGCTGAACCCATGGATCCTCACGGAGTCACTCCGCTGTGCACACCCCTGGGGCTGTCTCTTGTAAGGGGCTCGGGGTGACCCTCTAGGGTCAGACACAGGTTCTATGGGGGTGGAAATAGTCAAACCTACTGCAAAGACTCATGAGGAGGAAGTCTCTGTGAAAGTATGTAAGGTCACATCTGGCACTTAGCAGGTTCTCAATAAATGGGACTTTTTCTCCCTGCCCAAGTGCCAGAATTTAAGATGCGTTTATACCTCTCTGAACCTGACCAGGTGATGCAGTGGTAAAGAATCTGCCTGCCACTGTGGGAGATGCCAGAGATGCAGGTTTGATCCCTGGGTCGGGAAGGTCTGCTAGAGTAGGAAATGACACCTACTCCAGTATTCTTGCCTGGAAAATTCTGTGGACAGAGGAGCCTGGCAGGCTACAGTTCATGGCAAAGAGTCAGACATGACTGAGCACGCACAGTCCTCTACCTCTCTGAACTCACTGCGGGGACCATCCCTTTACCAGAAGTTTCAAGACTGAGCGCATTCAGCCAACTCAGTCCATCAGCAAACCCTGCAACTTTCTCTGTTTATATCTAGTCACTTTCTCCTCCTGCCACCTCCACTGTTACCACCTGTCCCAGCACCACTATCTCTTGCCTGGATTATTGCAGTTGCAATAGTGAGACATAGAGGTATATTGGAACAGGCAGGAAGATGGAAGGGAAGTAATTGAAATAATTTTCTCCAACAAGCCCCATATGGGAATGGAAGTTAGTATCTGCCCATAAGGAGGCGAAATAGAGGCACCTACTGGGGGAAGGGAAATGTCTCCCATCAGGACACTTTCACATGGTCTGACAGCTTCCAATAAGGTGCCAGTTTCCCCTGTGACTCTCTGGATCCTTTCCTCTCCCTCGTAGTTTTCATTGAGACTTGCTGTAGTGATAAGAGTAAAAATTCACAAACTATGAGGCCAGCAGGAAAGTAAAGACCCTGCCAATGCCTGCGAACTCTAATCTTCTCAAACTGAATAGGCTCAGAGTTGCATCTGGAGTTGTGTGTGCTTGGCAAACATAAGATGGAAACCCCTCTGAAAAACATCTGACAGGAATTGCCTCTTCACAAAATGTGAAAAGAAGCTCCCACCCAATTATTAAGAGGCTGTCGAAGAGGAAAGAAAAAGTTTGTGCAGCTAACACAACACGTGGCTTGCCAAAATCATCCTGCCCTAATTCTCTTGTCAGCAGAGTCACTTTTCCGAAGAGCAAGTAACTCGTGATTGGGTTGCTTGATTCTTCTGGCCACTTCTGCTGTGCACCCCCCCCACCCCACCCAGGACCCCCTGCCTGGACCTCACCCGCCTGTCCGTGTTTTCACTGGTGGGATATTCTTTGGGGCTTGAAACCTCAGAAATTCCGTTGAGAGCACAATGATCCGGGCTCAGGATGTGAATGGCCACGAATGTCATATTGCTTATCGTGCTCTGGGCAACACCCAGCAGCTGCTGGTGTTTAACGAGGCAGCGGCACAGGGCTCTGAGAATAGTCCTGTGTGTGCTTTGTTTGTGCGTTTTGCAGCTGATTTAAGAACAAGAAAGGAACAAAACCGATCTGATGCCTTTACTCCAGAGATCGTCCACATCCTTCCTAGGGCAGGAAGAGCAGGTGACTGGGACACTGAACATTTGGCAAGCTGGTGGCTTTCCTGCATTGGCATGCTTCGCCGGGGTTTTCATGAAAAGACAATGACCTTTACAGAAAACAACGACCTTTGCAGAGATCTCTAAACCCTGGCAACTCATCAGCAAGTTCAGTTCCAAAAGCGTTCTTCTTGCCTTTCCCAACAGACTTGAACAACTAGAAAGAAAGGAAGGAACTTGAAAAAATCACCCAAGTTTTTGGCAAACCTTAGGCGCTCTTTTCCCCCACCCTGTAATTAAGGCAGAAGTAAACAGTAAGAGAATATCAAATTGCAGCTTGCTCTGGTAATAGGTGCCCAGGTGGAGCTGCTGCTTGTACAGACCTGTGCCTTCAGACAGAAGGGCAGCCTCCTTGGGGAGCACTCCAATGGGTCCCTAGATCTGACATATCAAGATTAAGACATGAAAATTTGGAGCAGAGTGACAAGAAAGGGTGAGTCACCTGGGTATCATCTGAAAAAAAAAATGGTTTTTCCTTCTCTGGACCCCTTCTTGTTTTAGGGGGTCATCTGGATGGCACTGCCTCATCTCGAAGAGCCTGCTGGGTCCAAGGAACCCAAAGCACTGCCTGTTGAGCACAGTGCGTATGAGGACTCCCCGTCAGGCTGGCTTGGTCTGTGTGCTGCCTCTGGCCACTCACCAGCTGAGTGTGCCCACTGAGCTGCTTACCTTCTCTGAGCTTCCATTTTCTCAGCTCTAGAAAGAGAATAGTATTACCTTGTAGAGTGCCTGTGAGGCTAAAATGAAACAGTGTAAAGTGCCCTCCACATAAGAACCACCTAAGCACCGATGTTGCATGGGTCAATAGTTCATTTCTTCTTATTGTTAAGTAGGACTCTCTTGTGGCTCTACTGCAATTTGTTTATCCATTCAGCTGTTGTTTTGACATTTGTGTTCCTCCCTGTTTTTGGCTATTACAGATAAAGCTGCTACTATTTGTGTACAAGTCTTGTGTGATCAGTTTTCCTTTTCTCTTAGGCAAAATACTTAGGAATGGCTAGATCATAAATAAGTGTGTGTATAGCTTTTAAGGAAAAGGTCAAACTAATTTCCAAAGTGGTTGCACCACTTTACATTCTCACCAGCAGGATATGAGAGTTCTAGTTTCTCCACAACCTTGCCAACACTTGGTATGGGACTTCTTATTTCATCCACTCTAACAGGTTGTGTCATGGTGATTCACATTTACTTTGGGTTGCACTGAAAAAATAGGTGAAAATTCTGCACCATTCCTGTGTTGCATTCATACCATTCATTTATTACATACTGAATAAGCCACAAAACATTATCTGAAGACAAACAGTGGTGAAATTTAATCCTCAGTGCATAGTTGGGTGCATCTTACTCGGAAGGTTAAGTGAATTTCAAGCAACAGCAGCCTAATGACTCAGTGCTGTAGCCCCCTTAATTTTCTTCCCATCTCTCCTACTAAAGTCAAATAATTGCTGTGATTTCATTACTTCACCTATGAAGCTGATAATAATCCTGGTCAATGTCACCTTCTACTCTTGTTACTAACACTAACAAATATCATGAGATTAGCAAGTCTATTAATTTTGCCCTTGTGTTTTTAATAGTGAGGTTAGTGTAAATTTGTTCATTCCCTTTTAGGATCCAAAAGAGAGAACCTACAGGAGAAATTTAATTCTAATCTTTGTTCTAGGAATAGCTTTGTTTTTCTTGAACAGTTGGTTTGTTTTCATCTGATAGATGCTGGGAATAGTGGTGTTACTTTCTTCACATTGGTAGCCAAGAACCCAGAGCCAGATTTATCTTCTGTTCCACAGCAACTTGATAAGATTTATCTTATATGTTTTGTAAACTAACTCTTGCTTGACTTCAGCTTACCTTCCTATTTAATTTTTTATTTGCTTTATTTTCCATATTCATTAAAAGATTTTAAATGGAAGTGATTTTATTTTTTAAAATGTATGTTTATAGTGAAAATTCAAAGGCATAAATTGAGTCTTCCCTCACTCCTCTGCCCCAAAGTCACCTGGTTCCTTCCCTAGGGGCAACTGCTGTTATTACTGATTTGTTGCATGTCTTTACTGAGATCATCTATGTGAATATAAGCATATTTATGGGGTGGCTGGCATATGTTTGTAAGCAGTTTGGTGAATGAGTTAGAGTTCATAGTGTATAAGCAGTAACTTTATTTCTGCTCATCCCCTGGCTCCTGAAATTTACTCTCCTATTTTCTTGCCTTCCCACAGACGAATTCTCTGTTAGATCCTTAATTTTTCTAGTCACTTTCTGGTGTTAACAGATGACTTCACTTTCACTAAAAAGTCTGGACTAATATGGAATCAAAACATCAGCCTCTGTTTCCAACGCAAACATCTCCCCTTCTCCAGCTGGGGCCTGGCTGTGGCTCAGATGTTCCCAGGGGTGTCATCTGCCTCCCACCAACTCCTAGCCTTGCTCTTCTGCTGCTCCTCCATACTCACCTGTGACCTCTGACTCTTCTGGGGGTGGTGGACTGGGTGGTTTACACCTTTCCTTTGGGGAGCACCTTTGGGTGTAGCCTCTTCACCTGTAGGTGTAGAGAAGTGGGTGTGCCTAGGAGTCTGGGGGTTTATATCTTCCCCCTTTCCCTGAGTGGGGCTTCCCCGGGTAGCTCAGTTGTAAAGAATCTGCCTGCAGTGCAGAAAACCCAGGTTTGATCCCTGGGTTGGGAAGATCCCCCGGAGAAGGAAATGGCAAACCACTTCAGTAGTCTTGCCTGGAAAATCCCATGGACAGAGGAACCATACATACAGTCCATGGGGTTGCAAGAGTTGGACATGACTGAGGGACTAAACCAGCACATTTCCCTGAGAACCAATGACTGAATGGAACAGAATAACAAAAGCCTAGACCCCTTGCTGTGAAACAGACAAACTCTGAGAGGTAATTTATATTCTAGAGCCCCTGGTGGGATTAACCTGAGACTGGGACTATGCCTGAAATCTCATAGTCCCTTCCCTTCCTCCCGGTCAGGTTTCCCCAACCCTCTTAGCAGATTCTTTGATGCACTCTTTGATAAATCACTTACTTTCACAGGAACCCACATTTCAGGGTCTGCTTCTTGGGAAATAACCTAAGACAGCAACTGTCCAAATAGTGGCACTCTTATGGGATACTATCGAAAGTTCCTCAGCATTCCCTCACTAAGGCCCCTCCAACCACAGTTCTCTTGCCTTACTGAAGTCTGCTGGGGCAGAGCTACCTACAACGCTCTCCTCAGGTCCTGGCTTCCAGGGTCCATCCCTTGGACTCTGGGTTGGGGTCTTTAACTCTGAACAGAAAGAGCAAAACTCATTGTTGAGTCATCATCACACATCTTCTCTTCTTCCACCTTAAGAATATTATTAATTATATACACATGCTCTGGATTTGTACCTTCCACTGTATAAATAAATACCTACATTTGTTCTAGTTGTTCTCCTTCAGTTAATTGGCTGAAATACACAAAACAACCAGTCATTCTCTAATGAGGACGTTTTATTCTTTTGGTTGGGTAATATTTGTTTCTTGTAGCTTTCACAAATGAAAAGCTATGCCCACTGACCTCTTACATTTTCAGAAAAGTTTACCCATTGATTTTACACTTCTGTTGGTCGATAATAAAATTCTTAGGTCACACTTTATGTTTTGCTTTGCTTTTCTGTTTTCTAGCACTAGTTTTTTTCCACCTCTATTAAGTGGCCTGATGGTTGGTTGGTTGTTTTTCCAGGATACTAAAATGATTCTTTTTTAAAATTTTTGTAGTCAAACAGTTGTGCTGTGATTTCCACCACCCCCTGCCCCCCAGGGACAAGATGTATCTTTCAGTTTGTAAATTTAAGTAATTCCTCTTTGGGGGAAAATATATAGCTTTTATAACCAATGAATCAATTTTATTATTCAAAATGTTACACTCCTGGGATTGGCTGGTGGAGCTGGATTTAAAGAATTCTGTTGGATCTAACTCTCTAGAGAAGGATGTCCTCATCCTGGGGGGCTACCACCTGAGCAGAAGTCACTTTGAATTGTACCTTGAAATATTTTACTGTTCCATTATTGGTTTCTCTTCTTCAGGGATACCAATTTTGCTCATGTTTTCTGTCTTGGTCTCTTTCATATTCACCATCTTTTTCTTCTCTTTTTTAAACTTGAAAAAAAAATCTGCTTATTTCCGTGCTGTTTTACTCACTTTTCTTACCACGCGTGTGTGTGCATGCTAAGTCACTTTAGTTGTGTCTGACTCTGTGCGACCCTATAGACTGCAGCCTGCCAGGCTCCTCTGTCCATGGAATTCTCCAGGCAAGAATACTGGAGGGGGTAGCCATTTCCTTCTCCAGGGAATCTTCCTGATCCAGGGATCAAACCTGGGTCTCCTGCATTCCAGGCAGAGTCTTTACCATCTGAGCCACCAGGGAAGCCCATTTTTTGTGATGCTAGAATGTTTTTCTTCCACTTCTTTTCCAAATTCTGTCAGTTCTTATTTCATCTACTTCCGTCTTTTCATGTTTTCTCTCAGTGCTTGTATCTCTATTCTGTGTTCTTGGTTTGCGGTGGCGATCTTGAATATTTTCTCTTTGCTAAGGAGCATATCACTGTGTCATCTTTGCTTTCTACCAGTTCCCAGGAATCCCTAAAATAGTTTAACTTTCCAAGGATGCTGGATTCAAGTTCCACTCAAGAAGCAACAAGGACCAGTAGGCTTGTGAGCTGGGCCGAATTTTGTCCAGATCCTGACTCTGCTACTTACAGGTTGGGTTATTTTGAGGATACTGGTGTTTCTGAGCCTCAGTCACCTCATCTGTAAGACAGATGTGATATTACTTCATAATGTTGTTGTGAGGATGAGATAAAATTAATAATGTAAAAGGTCTAGCTCAGAGTCTGGCTTTCATAGGGTACTTAATAAATGTTCCCTTTCTGTTTTGTTTTTTTCTGACTAAACTGATGGATAGGTACAAGCTATTTTTACCATAACAAGAAGAGGCTTTGTCTTAAAAGTTATTAAACTGTCACACTAAAGCCCCCATTACAGTGGTGGTAGTAGAAAATATTTATTAAAGGCATACTATTTTCTAGGAATTTTGCTAAAGTTATTACAT